CAGGGGGCTTGTGATGGGGCAGCGGATGTGATAGTTCCGTTGCGCGATGTTAGAGAGCTACAAAAGGGACTTAACCTCGGAGGGCTCTGAGTATCCAGCGCATAAGCACGACAGAGGGTAGGGTTAAGGGTTTCAGAGCAGAAAGCGACCCACTTGTAGTACTTCGGGTCGTGTTAGCATAAGCTCCTGTGCACCAGTTTTCACCAACTCAAAACCCGACGACCTCAAATGGCTAGATCAGCCCATAAGAATGAAAAACCACACTTAAACATTCCAGAGCACACTCGATGAGGCGACTGATCCATGGGGTGTTAAAGTAGAAAGGGTTGAAGTGAAAGATGTCCGATTGCCGTTGCAATTGCAACGAGCGATGGCTGCCGAAGCAGAAGCAACTCGGGAAGCTGGAGCGAAGGTTTGTTTTGTTAACACATTCAGCAACAGCAATGCTTTGATTGGGAGGACAACTTTTCGGTTTTAGGTGATCGCTGCTGAAGGAGAGCAAAAAGCATCACGAGCTCTACGCGAGGCTGCCGAAGTGGTGCGTTGCTGTTTACTATTTTGAAGGCACATTCTGCGATTGCAAGTCATAGGTGATGGGAAATGAGCCTGAACTCGTACGAACCAGGAGAGAAAACAGCTGATGAAACAGTCAACCCCCTCCCCCTAATATGGCTCTCGCAATCTGATTTTACTCTATGAATGAAGAGCTGGAGACTAAGAGACACTGTTGGAGTTAGAGAAGGGCATGAGAAAGAAGAGCGAAACGACAGTTCTGGCCCCACACACGAATGGTACGCAGTTCATGCCTGGGAGGGGTCACTCACCACACCCATGGTTGGGTTACCACGACAAGTGATTGCCGGCTGCTCACTTTCGAGCCTCGAGCGTGTTTTCTTCGACTTCTTGAAACAGAACAACTTCTTCGAAACCAGGTTGCGTTTTACAGTGAAAAGGTTCCGCCTATTGGGTAACGGCGGAATGTGTCTTCAGACCGTTATAGGAGTCAGACAAGCTGTACTGTAACATTCTTATTCAGCAAATAGAAATAATATAATATATAATAATAATAATAACTAGGAGCAGACCGTTATTTCAATCTTAACGTTTTTCAGATAGCTTCATCCCCTTGTGCAATACAATTGCGTTACCTGCAAACGTTGAACAGTATAAGGTTAGTTCCTGAAATCGATTCAATCATAATAAACTGAATAGAACTCTCTGCGATACACTGAAGAAAGTCCGAGCCCTCTACCGAATAAATATTCCTTCTCGAAAATCCGTCATCTTTTGTGAATCCGAGTGCTAG